AAAAAAAAAATCATGCTTGACACTAAAAAGAGTTGTCTACTAAAGTGCACTTTGGAACGATGATGAATAAAAGAAAAGAGATTTATTTATCTCTGCCTAATACACTTGTACTCAAACTTTCTTTGAGAGTAAGGATACTTTCTCTGATAACCATTTTCCTCTGATAAATTTCCTCTTATAATACCCTTGCTTCCCATAAAAATTCTTTTTAACTGGTTATGTATAAGGCCACTAGTAAAAGAAGAGAAAAAATAGGAAAAATCATGCATCAACTTTGCAAGAACTCGTATGCAGGCAAAGAGCCCAGTAAGAAAGAGATGACATAGCCTAGTGAAAGTACTGGCAGCGCATTAAAGGAAAGAAGATGAATCCAGGAGACATTAAACATTTCTAAGCTGGAAGGAAAGCTGAAACTAAACTAGAAAAGGAACACTGAAGAGAAAGAGATTAATGGGACCCTGTAAAAAGTAGAAGGCCAGAAGCAGCACAGAAAGAAAAGCTAAAATTAAGAGAAGGGGACAGTAACATGGGCACACTAGTTCCTTAATGTAATTCCCCTATCCCCTTAACCTGCTCTGCCAAGAACAATCCTGATCACCAAATGACAAACTTTGGTTTGTTGGTAGATGGGTGTTCTGCATGGTTTGCTTTGGTTCAGTGAGACAAAATCAAAATGGTGGACACTGATGTCATGAAAACTTCATGGACTGCCTTGAAATTTTCTTTTGAGCTTCCTTTAGTGAAGTTATAAGAAGATTTTCAGCCTTGCCTAAAATAAAGAACAGAGTCTAGGTACTGATACCTGTGCATTTCCTTAGGAGATAATGGTAGAAGTGGCAATCATTAGATTTTTTCTTTTATAGTTCTCTTGTTTTGGAGCAGAACTTTTCTCTCAGTTAGAAACCTACTTTATATAAGATGTAAAATATAGCTCGCTGTACAACTTAAACTAATTGAAGGAAAAATGTGTCATTCTTAGAAGGCTTAATTAGGTTAAAAGAATTTGAGTTTAGAATCAATTGATTCCAGGCTTTTAAAGAACTATCCAGGACAGAAAAATTGGAAGTGAACAATGAAAATCTAAATGGGCCTAACTCTGTATTTCAGAGTGAAATAGATATTATAGAAAAAGAATTGAAAGAAGAGAAATTTAAATATTCAGAACGAGATGAGTTGATTGCTGATAAGTCAAGGAAATAGAATCACTAGAATAAAAATCAAAATCCGTTGCATCACTAGCATCTTTTCTAACTAGAACATCTGGCAGAGAACATTCCCCATATGGTTCCTCATCGAAGAAACAGCCTTCATCTCAAAAGAAATTGTTTTTATTTCTCTTGACTCAGAGTTTTTCATCTTTGCTGCAAGGCTTTGTTTCTCTACCTCTTCCTTCAATTCAAGGTTCTTTGCTGCCAACAGATCCAAGGGGTTGGTTTGTGGCATATATGATTCCTTTGCTTCCTGTTCCTCCAGAAGGCATGTATGAATCACCCTAGAAATATTTTCTGCTGATGGACCTTTCTGGTCCAGCACAGTCTTCAATAGCAATGAGAACTGTCTACCCACCCAAGGTTGTCATTTTTTTCCCTTCCTATGTGCTGGATTCACCCCTTTCCCATACCCCCGACATCACAGTTGACTCATCTTTCACACTAACCTACTACTAAACATCCTGAACCATAGCAAGGAACTTGAAACATTTTTTATCTCTTTTCAAAAATAATTTTGAAGTGTCTCTCAGTTTTAATT